ACTTTGTGCCCCTTGATGGCTCCAAGCTGGCCAAGAAAAGGGCAGACTTGGTGGAGAAAGTGCGTCGAGAGGCTGAGCAGAAGGCGCGCGAAGAGAAGGAGCGTGAACGGGAACGGGAGCGGGAGAAGGAGCGGGAGCGGGAGAAGGAGCGGGAGCTGGAGAGGAGTGTGGTAGGTCTGGGGGTCCCACTGCCGCAGCGCAGCCAGGGAGGATGCTCGAGGGCCCCCTTGGCCGCTCCCTGCTGGGACCCTGAAGCCGGTCTCTCCGCTCTTTTGCAGAAGATGGCCCAGGAGGGCCGTCCGGTCGAGTGCTCATCCCTCGGGCCGGTTCCCCACCGCCCCTCCTTCGAGCAGGGCAGTGCTGTAGCGACTGTTCCCCCATACCTGGGCCCTGACACCCCGGCTCTGCGCACCCTTAGCGAGTATGCCCGGCCCCACGTCATGTCCCCCAGCAACCGCAACCAYCCTTTCTACGTGCCCCTGGGCGCCGTCGACCCAGGCCTGCTGGGCTACAATGTGCCAGCCATCTACAGCAGCGATCCGGCCACACGCGAGCGGGAGTTGAGGGAGCGGGAGGCCCGCGAGCGAGATCTGAGGGACCGGGACCTGCGTGAACGTCTCAAGCCCGGCTTTGAAGTCAAACCGGCCGAGTTGGAGCAGCTCCACGCCGTGCCAGCTGCTGCCATGGATCCGTTCCCACGCCACGGCGGGCTGAGTCTGCAGACGGCCCCCGGCCTTCATCCCGCTTTTCCCTTCCACCCAGGGCTGGGCCACTTGGAGCGGGAGAGGCTGGCGCTGGCAGCCGGCCCGACCCTTCGTCCCGACATGTCGTACGCCGAGCGCTTGGCGGCCGAACGCCAGCATGCCGAGCGGGTGGCTGCTCTCAGCAATGACCCTCTGGCCCGGCTGCAGATGCTCAATGTGACACCTCATCATCATCAGCATTCCCACATCCACTCCCACCTCCATCTGCACCAGCAGGATGCCATACACGCAGGTAAGGGCTGCATGGTGGTGGTGCTCTGCACAAAGCCCTGCTTTCTGTCCTCCTGTGCTKTCCTTGCACTCACTCCCTCTGGCCCTGGGGAACCCTAAAAGCTGCTGAAACTAATYTTTGAGGGTGTAGATCTTGAGCCAGAAGAGCCCCAACATCATGGTCATTCTTCCTTGCCCTCGCTCCCATCCTGCCAAAGACACTGACACTGCTGATTAGTGGCCAGCAGAATTGTTTGTACCATGTCCTTTCGTTCTGGATCTCTSGGGTCAAAGTACAAGTGCTGGAGTTCCACTGGCTGCCTGGGCAGTGCTGCTGTGAACTGTATTCCTTAGACTGGGGTCTGCAGAGGGAGTGGGAGCCCTGTTTGAACAGTTTTGGCAATGTCATTAGGACTAAAGAAATGTTGGTTCTCAGGTTGGCTCCTATGACTCTTGCTGCAGATAGTGRGATGGGATGGGAAAGAGGTGGGCTAATCATAAGGAACTGGAGGCTACTGTTTTTTAGAATTGAATGGTGATCCCTCCCATTTCCACATCATGCAGGAAAGCAAAGTGAAAGGTTTAGAGATGAAAATCTCAGGGAAGCAAAGCCCAAGCTACAGTGCAATAGGAAAAAAGTGTTATGCTCAGATACTGTGAGTGGTCAGTGGGATCTGATTTCAGCAGCTGCAACTGCTCAGAGACGGCAAATGAATGTTCATTTTCCCTGTGATCCATGGCTGGGCACCTTACTCTGGCTGTAAGTCCAAAGATTCTGTTCTGGGTGAGATTTGGAAAAGGAAGCACCCAATACAAGTATGCACATGAATGGCTGTCAGGGTGCCAGATAGGCATGATATGAGGTGCAGACCTGATTGCAGAGCAGGTCCTTGCAGGACTGACTTTTAAGGAGCAGTACTCCCTGAGGAGTGTAGGGACACAGCTCTGCTGGACTGGTTCACGTGAAGTTCAATGCAGGCAAAAAGAGTAACATGCAGAAGGAGATGGCACTGTGTTGTCTAGCTGTGAAATGATTCCATCTCTGATATACTCCAGCCCTCACTCGGTGACTGTTCTGTGAGGCCTTGTGCCTTTCTCTGTGTTACCTGCTACAAAGCATGGGTCATTTATCTTGTGATGTCTTCTTTTCCCAGCCTCAGCTTCTGTTCACCCTCTAATCGACCCCCTCGCTTCGGGATCACACCTCACCCGGATACCATACCCAGCTGGAACCATCCCCAACCCTCTCCTGCCTCACCCTCTACATGAGAATGAAGTGCTGCGTCACCAGCTCTTTGGTAAGAAAGTTGACAGGGACTGCTGGTCTGCAAAGAGCATCAGCAGAGTTCTGAGGGGTCACAGGACCAGAYAGGTCTGTTAAACAGAGCTTTGGCCCGGTGTAGGACAGGTCCACGCTGTCGGGATAAGCAGGTCCTGCACGTGGGCAGGGATGAGAACAGGAGTGCAGCAGGGTCTTGGCTGAGCTGTGGGGCCTCAGGTGGAGCATTAACGTGTCTCTTGTCTGTGTCCCCTTTGGCTGCAGCCGCGCCCTACAGGGACCTGCCGGGCTCCCTGTCGGCGCCCATGTCGGCGGCACACCAGCTGCAGGCCATGCACGCGCAGTCGGCTGAGCTGCAGCGCCTGGCTCTGGAGCAGCAGCAGTGGCTCCACGCCCACCACCCCCTGCACGGCGTGCCGCTCCCCACACAGGAGGACTACTACAGGTGCGTGGAGCTGCTCTCTCCTCACAAGAACACCTCCAGGCCCAGCCCTGGGGCTGGCACAGGCAGTGGGGATCGGAAAGCCTGCCCTCTGGAGTGGGCGACTGCCCAAGTCCACACTGGGAGCAGGGGTGCTTTGCTAAGGGGCACAGCTGTGAGCTGGTCAGCAGGAAGGTCATTTTTGGCAAGTGGCTATTCAGAGCCGATCCAATTTGAGGTCTCAGCTCCTCCCCTCTGAGGGGGTGATAATTTACATGTTTCATACATTCTAATGTAGTCATGACTAACCAATACCCCTGCCAAAATACAAAACATTTACAAGGGTTTGGTGATTTTGCCAAGATGAGGCATTCACATGTGCATGGGGAGGCACATTGGGAAAGAGAGAGTTGCAGTGTTGTACCTTTTCAGTGGTATCTCCTACTTCAAGGATTTGTGAAACTCCCAAGCTAGCAGTGTCGTGTGGGCCTAGATGAGCAAAGGCAGGGACATACAGTAAATTGCCTTTTCCCCTTTCACTATCATCTTGTTTCTCTTTTTTTATCCTAGCCACCTGAAGAAGGAAAGTGACAAACCCCTTTAAATGGACTTCTACAGTCAATGTGACATCATCATGTCTTCCTCTCAAGAGGAGCAATCAATCAACCAAATCCTGGGGGAGGGAAATCTTCAAAGTGACACATCCCAATCCCACCATGCAGTAGTGTACAAGAGAAGATAACAGAAAGTATGGGATGGCATCCTGGGAGCAGAAAGTAGAGGAGAGAAAATGGGGAGGGACTGAAACACCAGTAGCGGACCTGAAGCGATTGGTACGTGATTTCAGCTGAGCTCCGAAGGAAGAGCATCAGCATTGCACAGAGCTCAGAAAGAAAAAGACTGACATGAATTCAGGGTGGCAGCAGCTCCATCCTTTGTTTTGGGGGAACAGTTGCATTAAATGAAAAATGCATACTATTGCAGGACTTCACGTACAGGATGCTCCTGCCTTTTCTGCCTCTGCAAGGAGGAGGTGCAGCCAAGAAGTAACTGCAAACCCAAACGAGCCTTTTTTCAAGATGCCTCCTCTACACCCCACCCCCTTTAGGTGTAAGATACTGCTTAGCTATACAGAAAAGCAACGTGGAATTCTTTCAGATTAGCCAGAGCAGCTTCCCATTCTCCAACATCCCTTCAGATGCAAACAAAATGTTCCAGGCCCCTTCCTGAGTGGCTTCTCCTGCCTGTGGAGGGTCCGGTCCCAGCCATCAGGGTGCAAAGCACCTCAGGACTGTTTGCAGGACAGTGGCTGTGCTTTCCCCAGGAGACTGTTTTGGAGACTGCCATCACCACTGTGACCGCTTTGAGCCCTGTGGGGAGAGCCGAGTGTGGCTGAGCAGTGACTGCGTCCTGGGACTGTCTGTAAGATGGTGGCTGCCCTTTTCCCCTCACCCATCCTACTTGATGTACTTTAACTCATGCACATCCTATTAGACGTGGCAGTTTTATGTAGCAACTTGTGACTCCCTTGCCCCCGCGTGCGTGTTCTGATTTCACAGTTGTATCTCTCGATTGGTCCCCCATATATCTATATATTTACTTAACCATTAAAAGAAACCAACCAACAACCCAGCTATGGAAAAGAAAAAAAAAAAAAACAACCACCCAAACGACGTTTCCCACGCACTCCCGAGCCCTGACACACATTCTAATAATTTATATATATAAATATATATATGATGCTCTTAAAAAAGGAAAAAAAAAAAAAAAAGACAAAAAAACCCTTCCAGAAACGGGAGTCCGGTGTGTTCATTTTTTTCTCTGGGGCCGGGAGGGGAAGGGCAGAAACACCTTCCCGGTGAAAACTGGGAGGGGCTGGGAGTGGGCCCCGCCCCGGGAAAGGCGCGGAGAAGCCGCTGGCAGGGGCCCCGCCCCCCGCGGAGGAGCGGCGTGCGGGCCAATGAGAAGCGGGCGATTTGCATACGGCCCGGGCGGTGCGGCGGGCGCAGTTCGGCGGCGGCAGCCGCCTCCGGTGTCGGTGTGGAGCGGAACGGAGGGAGGCGCCGTGCCGGGGGCCCGCGGGGCAGGCGGATGGGAGAGAAAAGCGCTCCTCGCCCTCACATAGGGGTGAGTCGGCCCGGATGCGCACCCTGCCCTGGCCTATTCACTGCCAGTGATTTCAGCTCTTTTAGAATTTGTCTAGCAGGTTTCCCCCCTTGGCGGGAAGCCGCTCCCACACGCTGGTGCAATGGTAGAACGGGGCGGGAAGGCGCAGGCGCGCATGGGGCGGGGCGGGGAGGAGCCGCTGTGCGGCCGCGCCAGACCGGAGCCGCGGCCACCGCGCCGCGCTCCATGGCGGCCTCCGCGCAGCCCCCGGTGCCGCCGGCGCTGAGCGCGGAGCAGGCGAAGGGTGAGTGCGGGAGGCTCCGTCTCCCCGGGGGCCGGTGGCGCAGGGCCCGTGTCGCGTAGGTCGGTGCGGAGGCTGAGTGCTTTTGTCCCGCAGCGGTGCTGGCGGAGGTGATCAAGGCGTTCGGGGCGCCCGAGAACGCGCAGCGCATGGAGGAGGCTCGGGACAACGCCTGCAACGACATGGGCAAGATGCTGCAGTTTCTTCTGCCCGTGGCCACCCAGATCCAGCAGGACGTGATCAAGGCCTACGGTTTCAGCAGCGACGGTGAAGGTAGGTTGTTGCCCCGCCTGGCRGGATGCTCCGGCCCCGCCGGGGCAGCGGGGTCTCCTACTCACCCTCTTTCCTCGCAGGAGTCCTGAAATTTGCCCGSCTGATCAAGTCTTACGAGTCGCAGGACCCGGAGATCGCCAGCATGTCGGGCAAGCTCAAGGCCATGTTCCTGCCGCCTATGACGCTGCCGCCGCACGGTGCCGGCACCGGTGGAGTTGCTGCCTCCTGAGCCCGTGGAGTTCTCCCGGTGCTCCAATTGATGTGTTCCTTCCGAGTGCAGGTTCTGTCAGCCCTGGGAATGGGGCACTTGAACAAGGGAGATACTGACCTGGAAGGAATGGGATGCTTTGTGCCCACTTGTGTGTCTCCTCGTGAATAAAACGTTGGTTGAAAATGCCCGTGTTTTATGAATGGCCATGAGCTCAGCARTGCTGCTCCTTGGTGCAGAGGCAGGTACAGCAGTGCTCTCTGCATGACACATGCGATGCTGTTTTGGGAAGCCCAGTGTGTACCATGTTCTGCAAAAAAGTTCGTGCAGAGCCCTGGTGTGAAGCCCTCGGATTTGATATCAGAGACTTTTTTTTTTTAATAAGAGATTTTAAGCACTTTACAAGGGCAAGTATTTTTAAATGTGCTGTTTGAAACATACTAGGAAATGTGCCCCTCAACATGATCTAGTGGTGTTCAGCAAGTGCTGTAAATGCCACTGTGGCCCTCGTTGCCAGCAGGGTCAGTGGTAATTTACTCCAGCCCCCAGTGCCTCTGGCTGCCTTGTTTTGTGGCTGAATGTGCAACCCAGCACATTATTGTCCTTAGTGAAAAAGGCAGCAGAGAGATGCAAAAGGGAGCGGCTGAGCGTGGGAGGGCTGGCCTTGCCCCATTTGGCTGCAGCCTGGATTAGAACAACATAAACAACGTAAAATTATTACTCACGTTTTTTTGGACTGCAGAGGGATCAACCTAGCGGAGCAACCTCGCTCCACTGCAGTGTTTTCTTTCCAGTGTGATTCAGAAGGACATCAGGTATGTCTGCTTGTAGCCTCCTGTGTGTGCCTGCTGCCCTTGGAAGTGCTGAGGTCTTTGGCAGTGGGAGGAAAGGGCTGGGAGTGAAGGAGCYGGGCCTGGGAGAGCAGGGAGCTACAAGCCAGGTGTGAGAGAGCTGCGTCGGGTTCTGCCTTCTGTGCTTTCAGTTACAAACCGGGCAGGAATGTAGCCAGCGAGGGCGTGAGCTCACTGGATGGGAGGCAGGAAGAGCAGTCGGTCCCTTCCGTCTCCATCTACCTCTCCGAGCCTGGCCTTGGCCTTCCCCCACCCCTTTGATTATTCATTAGCTACAGTCCAGGAAGTGCTTTGCAAATGGTGAAAATTAAGCCCTCGGCTTGAGGCCTGAGGTTTGCCTGACCTGGAGCTACCTTCTTCGTAGTCTGCCTGGGAGCAGGCGGAGTTCGGGACTTGGCCTGTGCGGATCAGACACAGGTGAGTCACGGGAGGTGCTGCCCCTGCAAGCGCTGCCAGCTCTGCTCCAGCACCCGGCACTCACCGCCATGAGCATCCAGCTCTGTCGGGAGAGTGCCAGGCAACCTCTCCTCTGCCAAGGTCTTTGATCTCTCTCCCAAATCCACCTCAAGATCCTGTCGTGGTAATTCCAATATTGCTTTATTTTCTTTAGAAGAACCCCCTTGGTTGAGGGCTGTGGTACTTCCTCCATCAGCTCCTGTCAGTTCTCCATCAGTGGGGATCTGAGAGACAAGAYCCTGATGCCATCCCGTGGGTGAGTGCTGTGAATGTTAGTCAGGGCAAGAAAACAAGAGTTGTTGGTGAGAAAATGAAGATATCAGCAGTAGGAATTGGGCATAGAAGGAAAAAAACCCACTTTCTAATAGGAGCTGCTGGGAGGATTGGAGTTCAATGTGCTTTAGATTGTTRCTGTTGCTCCTTCTCACTCTGATAAAGAGCAAGCAGAGTTTGTGATGCCCTGTCCGCTGCAGTTCCTCTGCCACCCTGCAGCTGCAGCATCTCTGAATGGTTTTGCAAATAGAGAGGTCAGCTGCCCAGCCTTTTAAATGCTGGCTACCCCTTTATTTGCTGCAGTCTTTCTAGCCCTTTATGGAACAAAGAGCAGACATACAACCCAAACAGGCATTCTGCTCTGGAGACTGTCGTGGCAGGGTGTCAGGAAATGGGATTTGCAATGGCGTTACTCTCTGGTAAGGATTTGGGTAACCATGGTGGTCCACCACTGTCCTGGAGCCCCATGGCCTGATGGAGAGCATCTGGCTTTGGCAAGTCACACGAAGATGGTCCATCTGCCCATTCCCAGGTAGCCTTTGCTCTGTACTAATGACTGAACTACAATGGAGTTCAGTACASAGCAGCAAAACCTCCTGTCTGAAATCATCTCAGTGCTGAGATTTAGAAATAACAAATGCAATGCTCATTCTCAAAAAGCATGCCAGATTAACTCTCCTAAATGTGAGGGAAACATGGAACCATAAAGTTGTTATCTGAGCAAGAGGGTAGACAGGGGAAGAAAGCAATGAATGTGATACTAAAGAATGAGCCAGGTTTTGCTTTTGCAAGGACAAGTCCAGTCCTCTAAAACTKGAGAGTTTTGAGGGACATAGCAAGCTTGTGAATAAGGCAGGTCTGACTGATACAGTTTGCTTGGATTTAAAGAATTTGACAAGATTTTCTCAGCTAAGCCTTTAAAAAAGACTGAAGTCATGGCATAAAAAAACAAAAAGAAGGAGGTTTTCTTGGGTAAAGAATTACTAGAAAACAGTAAATGGAAGATGGGAATTATCACATTTTTGCAGCAAAGGGAAGTAATCAGTGGTCAGATCACATCCCCTAATCTGAGATGTGCACTGTTCAGTATATTTCCAAGTGACATGGGAATATGGCTTGCTGAGGTGAGAAAATTGGATGATGGTAAAAAGTTATTGAGGACAACAGGGTGGGTGTTGCCTGTGAATAATTTCAGAAAGACCTTATGGCATTGAATGAGTGGGCAGTAGAACAGCAGATGAAATTTCATATAGGCTTATGTAAAACAATGTTCATACAGAAAAATAATTCAAAATTTGCATATAAAACAATGACTGTGAACTAATTGTAACCTCTCTGGTGTGAGACTTTGATCATACAAGTCTGTGCAATTGTTAGCTTAATTTTTGTTTGTGTTGAACATCAGAAATCATTACTGTCCATGACTCACCAGCACCTTGAACACCACCATTCTGTGCCCACCTTTATTCTTATCTCCAAATCAAGATGCTGGAATTGGAAGTATCTCTGAGAGAGACAGAAAAGGTGATCAGAGGTGTAGAATAGCTCTGTACAAAGAACACCTTAGTAGGGTTGGATTCTTCAGCCTGGCAGGGAGCTGAGGATGGATACAGAGTTACAGGTCTGTTATCAGGAGCAGCTTGGAGCGATGCCAGAAGGAGAAACCAGGAATCCCTGATTTTTCTTTCTTTACAGCAACCAGGTGTTAATAAAAAAAAAGGCAGGGAGCAGCTCATATGCAAGTCAAAGGAGGGGGTGTTTCTGTAGCTGAACAATGGAACTCCATGCCAAAGGACGCAAAATTTGTTATGGATTTGACCGTTGACTCTACMAGTAGCTGCTAATAAAGACTTACAAAGTACAAGGACAAAAGAAACTYTATAAATAACCTTTCCCTCTGCTCTTCCTTTGACAACTGTTTTGACCTCTGGATTGCCTAGTCCCACTCTCCTCTCACAGCAGAGCTCTCCCCAAAACTAGCTCAGGTAGCTCAGGGCCTTGTTCAGGTGAGTCCTGACACCTGCCATGGTGGAGGTTCCCTAGCTGCTCGGGGGACCTGTGGCAAGTGCTGAACCACCCTTGGGGGGCAGCATGTGTGCAGTTTTTCCTGATACCTAATCAGAATTTCCCTTGCTGCAAGGGATGCCTGTTGCCTCTTGTCTTTTTGTTTTGTCCCACAAAAAAGAATCTGACTCATCATCTCTAAATCCCCATGGCCCCTTTTAGGTAGTCTCAGATAAGTGTTAAATCCCTCATCAAGCATCTTTTCTGCAAGCTGAATAAACCCAGCTTCTCCAGGCTCTTCACTGCCTTAGTGGCATCATGCTGGATTCTTTCCAATTCCTCAGTGCCTTTTCTTTTGCAGCAGCCCAGATGTGTGTGTTTTTTAATTAGCTATTTCATTTATCTTCTCCTGTAAATTTGTTCCTGTGCTAGTGGTGGCCTGGTTCCATGAGGGATTTACAAGATGAGGTTCTAACACCTGTGTTGTACTGAAAGCCAASAACAGTGTAAGAGTAGTCTCTTTGCTGAAATCTCTTGACCTCTTAATTATATTAAGAAAATGTTTTAGTGGCTCAATTACAGTCTGCTGTTCCATGCTGCAGCCATTTGGGAGAGCAACCTTGAAGATACCAGCTGGTGTCTTCTCTATGGTGATATTTCCCTCCYTTACTGGTTTTTAATTAGATGGCCCAGATCAAAGACATCAGGGCAGCTGTGTGCATCCTGACCTTTCCTAAAATGAAAGYAACCAGAAGCATAAACTCATCCTGTAAATTATATGATATGCGATTTGTGTCCATAAAAAATACTGTCATGGATTACACTGCACCCTGTGGCTTRTCCTACTGGGGGATAGTGAGTTACATGGGATAAGTGCTCTCTCACCCTTTCTTATTCTCATCTGGGTTCTTTGCGGCCTTGTTCTTGCCCTATTCCCTTGTGTCCAACTGATGTTCAGTTCCTCAGACAGATTCTCTCCTCAGGTCAGTTCATAAGGGGTAGGGATGCCTACGTTTTGGTTTTCATCTACCTTGGCTTCATATTGACTCAACATAATCTAATATTTTTTTGACATCAGGAATTCTGTTTTGAAATTTATGCCCAGAAGTTCGTGCCTTTTCTCCCTTACCTTTAAACAGSGCTTGTTTCCTGTGCCAGACTGACTCTGATTTAGGTGCAGTCTTTCAGGTGCAGCTTCTATATCTTTGTGAAGAAGTTGTTCCTTTAAGCCACAGGTCACGTGCATTTAAAGTCTCCTRGGTTTTAAATATCAGTTCTAAGTCAGTACATCTGGCTCCCTGCAGCTCACTGGACCCYGGCTCACCATGTGCATGAAACAGAAGCATTTCTAAGGAAGCCTGAGGTGCCTGAGTTGCCTTTCTAGCAATGAAGTTTAGCTTCCCACTCATCTCTCCTGTACTTCCCTTTGTTGCTGGTTTCTGTCTCAGCCACGAGTTTTTGTCTAGGTCGTAGCTAGCAACCTGTTCATCTTTTTGCAGGATTTCCCAGTCTGGTGGTGTGTGGGGAAGTCTGCAGCTGCTGCTACTTGAAATGAGCAAGGCTCTTGCCGTTCTGCTGCCCACACCACCACTCTTGGTAGCTGAGATGGCCCCAGGGAAAAGTCAGCTGGATTGCATTCTTAGGCCACTGCTCTTAGCTCCCATTCTTKCACAAGACCTGCAGACCTCAAAACCAGTGTTGTGGACAGGGCAGTCCTGGGCCATGGCTGGAAACAGCTAGGTAACTGGAGTGGTTACTTTTACTTCTTTGTACCAGGTTGTCAGGTYTGGCCTTAGTATGCCGTGCTGGGATCTTGAATATCCTCAGCTCAGCTCCCTTGGTGCTGTGTGAGCTCCCTGTAGGTAGCAGCTGTTTTGTCCTGGTCCCTTGCTTGCCTTTCTGGGCAGCTTCATCGCCACCTCCCACCCTCCCCATCCCTTTGAGCCACTGCCCGTGTCAGTCCCATCCCGTGGCAGGATGGTTTCAGGCTGGCACTGCTGAGCTCAGAGCACTAGCCTGGACCTTGAAGTCTGCAGCTCTGGGTTTGCAAGGATTCCCCCTTGTGCCGGTGCAGAGCACATAGGGTATTTGGGACCACTCACGTTGCTCGTTGGCCTTTTGGGGAAGAAGGGGAACAGAGGAYATACAGAACTGAGTTTTGTAAGCATGGCGGGGAGCCGAGATGTATGCATAGAGTCAGCCCTCGTGCAAAAAAGACAGGGACCCAAAAATAATAGGGGGGATGGGGAGGAAAGACACAAAAGGAGAAGCAGAAGTGTGTGCAAAGCAGCTTGGGGCTGGGGAGTGGATGGCTCAGAGCGCTTCCTGTTCCCAGAGCCGCGCGTGCACGGCTGTGTAGGGGCTCGCACCTGCCTGTGCTCGGCAGTACTGCACAGCGGGCCAGAGATCAAGGCACTTCTCCGGGAAAAGCTGATGGAGAGGGTCTGAATGGACTGACAGTAGACTCCAGGAGACATACATGGCCAGCTCCCAAAAGGCGCAGAAACAGCTTGGTGTTGGGTGCTCCAGCACAGACCTCCGACTTCCCCTTTCTTACCAACGCGAACTGATTTTTTCCTTTGTGTTTTTTGAGTTGCTTTGGTGGCAGCCACTTGGCCACCTCTTCTTTCTCCCTCCACTATGGTGAGGTAAGAGGGTCTGAGAGGTCTGTGTGCGTAAGGAATGGGAAGTAGAATGGATCAGGGTGGGGATCGTCCTGGATGCGTTGCCTCTAATGGGAACCTTCCATAGGCTGGGGGAGGCGTCAGGTAGGAAGAGATGCTGCTGCTGGCTCTCACCTAGGGATGCTGACCGGGGACCCTTCTTCACCTCATAAGTCTCCACAGTAGTTCCTGGCTTTTTTTATTCACTTGGTCTTGCTTTATCTTCTCTGCTAGGTGGTTTCACCGTGACCTGAGTGGGCTGGAAGCTGAAGCCTTACTGAAGGGACGAGGTGTCCATGGGAGCTTCCTGGCCAGACCCAGTCGGAAGAATCAGGGGGATTTTTCTCTTTCAGTCCGGTAAGTAACCTGGACCCCAACTTCTGTCTTTGCAGTGTTAAATACACAGATTGCTGAGATCCTTATTTAGATCCTCCTCCTAGATGTCCTTGGGCATCTTCYTCATCCTCTCTTTATTCCTTTGAGGTATTTTCAAGCTATAAAGGACCTCAGCTTTCCAGCATCTTCTAGATCCTCCCTCAGGTTGCCCAAGGAGCTTCTCTTTCCAGTCATCTCCATTCACAGGGGTGGTCTGCTCTGGTTCCKTGGCGGGAAGTAGTGCAGGACACTCTTCTGCCCCTTTTCCAACCGCCTCATTGGACTGCCCTGTGCTTCATTCCACAGGGTTGGTGATCAGGTGACCCACATTCGCATCCAGAATACTGGGGATTTCTATGACCTGTATGGAGGGGAGAAGTTTGCCACCTTGTCTGAACTGGTGGAGTACTACACACAGCAACAGGGCTCGCTGCAGGACAAAGATGGAACCATCATTGACTTGCGATACCCGCTCAACTGTTCTGACCCCACGACAGAGAGGTACAGGGACAAGAAGGCAGCTGCTGTGTCTGTGATGAGACGGTTCATGGCCTCCTTTCTGCGTCCTCCTGCCTGCGTCTCCAGCGCAAATCCCGCAAAAAGTGTCTGCTGCTTTCCTTAGCTTCCTATGTCTCCATGAGGGCATCATCCCCAGGAATAGCTGGGCATACCTTGATCCATCACAGCAGACCTATAGGGCTCTATTTTTACTTCTGGTTTCCGGTTGCCTTTGCTATTTATATACTGTTTCTAGAAGGAAAGGTTGTGGTGTCTGCTGTGGGTCTGCAGTGGTCTGTAGAGGGACATGCTGCGTGGAAGCCCTCAGTCTTGCCCCAAACCTCCTTGGTTATTCTAGGCCTGGGTGACTCACTTAGCTGAGAGCAGGACCACGTTCCGCTGCTATTCCTGGCCTGCTTGGTCTCCTTCCTGTCCCTGCTTTGCATATGTCTCTGACACCAAGTTCCTAAATCAAATCAGGTGGTTTTGCTCTTGCGATTTGCTTTCAGGCCCTTTGATGGAGCTCAGGGAGCTGTCRCGCCCTGCTCTGGGCTGGACAAGTCCTTCTTGGACAGGTCCTCCTTGGGCACGTGGAGGCATGGAGCAGGCATGCCCTGGGTGAAGCATCAGGGTACACCCCAGCTTGCTCTGGGGTCAGGCTGCAGAGGGGCCAGATCTGCTGCTGGCTGTCCTCTCCAGTTAAGGCCATTGCTTCGTGGCCCTGCAGTTTCCTCCCTTCCTTCTGCGGTTGGAAACTTACCCACCCCCCTCCGGGGCTCTTACGAAAGCTCCTCTCACTCTCTCCCCAAGTGATTTTCCGTCACGTGGCTTTGAAGAGCTGGCTTTGCTGGGGGAGGGAGGAATGGGACCCGTTAACCCCATSCTACCTGTGGAGGGGAGGCTGGGAGACCTCTTTGATGAGCAGGAGCGGTCAACCGATTCCCAGGTGGCATCTAAGCACGTGGTAGCTGAACAGTTMTTTGAGAGGAGGTTTAGAAATCATTGACAGCTGTGCACGGAGCRTCACCAGCTGCTTCTTGCAGTGTGTGAGGTGAGAGTCAACAGGAGTTGTGTTCTGAGGCCCATAACTGTGAACCTCTTGCTGTGTGTGGAGGAATGCACTGCTCTGACCAGGTGCAAGGGTGAATGAATGCCCCAGCTCCTTCTGTGACTGGGGCATGGCCTCCTGAACTCCATCTCAGTTCTAGGGAACAAATAGCCCCTAACAATGTGCAGTTGACCAATACCACCCCTGGCCTTCCCTGTTAGCTGCTGTGTGGGAAGCAAATCCACTCCCACACAGCCCTATGGCAAGGCAGGGAGCACCTTGGTCAAATGGGGATGTTCCTCACCTTGTGCTGGGAGGAGAGAAGGAGCTGCTGAGTGTTTGCACTGAGGACAGGAATGTCCATATGGATCAGCTCCTGCTGGTCTGGGCACAGTGTGCTGTGCCCAGAGAATGGGAATTATACTTTGAGTGAAAAGGTGACTTGAGTTTCAGAAAGAGGAGCTGCTGGAATGGTTCTTTAATGGATCTGATATCAACACAACAATTTGAGTGCTGCTAAATCTGATGAGAGAGTTTCTGGCTCAGTGGGRGTTTATTTTTATTTCCCTGGTGTGGTTGAGTTTGCAGAGCCCCTTGCAGCAGTAAGGTGACAATCCCAATAATGCTGTGAGGTGCTGAAACCACAGACTGCCCTCTCCCAACTGGTCTTCAGGCAGAAAGTATCGCTTACCTGTGCCCATAGGTGTCACACAATGGATCACACTTGGTCTATCCCACTGTGTCCTCTGGTATCAGCCTTCTGCTCCCTAGGTCACTTCTGCCTCCACCTCATCCCTTGCATTTTCCTCTTCTTGCCAGCTCTCTACCTGCTATCTCATCTGCTTTTCCCAAGATCCTGCTCCTCCCCTCTCTCATTCCTTCCTCTCTGTCTCCCCCTTTCCTTCTTCCTCCCTCACCCTTCCCCAGTGTTGATGTTCTTCACCCATCAGTTCGGGGGTGTCCACTTACTGCATCTCCACCTCTTTTCTGACCCTCTCTTGCTTTTTTCCTAGGTGGTACCATGGGCATCTGTCAGGCCCTGCAGCTGAGTCACTTCTCCAGGCCAAAGCCACCCCTTGGACCTTCTTGGTGCGGGAGAGCCTCAGCAAACCTGGGGATTTTGTCTTGTCTGTCCTCACTGACCAGCCTAAACCTGGGTCTGATGCTCCAGCTGGGGCCACCGGTGCCCCTGGGGCCCGGCTCAAAGTCACGCACATCAAGATCATGTGTGAGGTGAGCAGTGGGAGGGCAAAAGGAGAAGCAGGGGTCTGATGGATGTTACCAACCTGGCYGTCACAATTTCTCCTATTTCTTTCATGTGGGATGAGGAGATTCCAAGGAAAGAGAGCAACTGACATTAATGAGATTGGAGGGCAAAGCACCTTTTCTGGGCTTCCACACACTAAGAGCACTACACTGAGAGCACCATGCCAGGAGCTCTGTGTTCTCTGGGCAGACTCACCTGAGTTCCCAGCCAAAGGAAATGGAGGGTGGTGCTTATGCATCTGAACCCCAGCATTGCCATTTTCCCAAGCATAACCAGCCTTGTCTATAGGACAGGCTGAGAGAGTAGGGGCTGTGCAGCCTGGAGAAAGCTCTGGGGAGATCTTACAGTGCCTTCCAGTACCTAAAGRAGGCTTATGAGAMAGTCCCTTTTGAGGGACTTTTTACAAGGGCATGGAGTGATAGGGCAAGGGGGAATGCCTTCAAACYGAAAGAGGGCAGGTTTAGATTGGATATTAAGAAAAAATACTTTACTGTGAGGGTGGTGAGGCATTGGAAYARGTGGCCCAGAGAAGCTGTGGATGTTCCATTCCTGCAAGTGCTTGAGGCCAGGCTGGATGAGGCTCTGCTCATGGCAGGGCRTTGAAAGCAGATGCCCTTTATGATATCTTCCAACCCAAACCATTCCGTGATTCTATGAACATTATGAGTGAGACATTACACATTCTTCCTCCGTTTAGAATGGACGCTACACAGTTGGAGGTGCTGAAATGTTTGACAGCTTGACAGATCTGGTGGAGCACTTCAAGAAGATTGGAATTGAGGAGATGTCTGGTTCCTTTGTGTACCTGAAGCAGGTAAGTCCAGTTTCCTGTTTTGAGGGGTCCTTTGGAGGGACTGATTTSCTGTTTGTTTTTGCTTTGTGTCCTTTTCCTTCTTTTCTCCACAGTGCACAGAGGAYACTTTGCTCTCCAGCAGCATCACTCTCTTTCTCTCTCTCACTTAGTGTGTTTTCCCTTCCCCAGCCCTACTATGCTACRAGAGTGAATGCTGCTGACATTGAGAACAGAGTGCAGGAACTGAACAAGAAGACAAGTCTGTCTGAGGAGACATCCAAGGCTGGATTCTGGGAGGAATTTGACGTAAGAAACTGCCGGGGGACATTATTTGTCTTTTTGGGAATTGTGTGTGCACCACCTCATTCTCCATCCTCGATTTCTTCCTGTATACAAACTTCTTGTGTGTCCTGTTAATTTATCTCTGAAAGATGTCTCTGTTTGGAACCTGTTCCCCTGGGGAGGGAGTGTCATCTTGAAGTGAACCCAGTGAGGTAGAAATGTAGTTTTTTATGGTTGGGAGAGTGAGTCACCAAGACAGTAAGGGTACAAACCTTGGACTTCTCAAATCTAGGTTTGGTTTTCACTTCTCGGCTCCCCCACAGCATGCCCATGTGTCATCTTAGTGCCCACCTCCCCTGTCATGCATTATGACCTTGCCATGACTATTCTTTCTTCTGCTCTCAGAGTCTGCAAAAACAGGAAGCCAAGCACCTGTTTGACCGTCATGAGGGCCAGAGACCTGAAAACAAGAGCAAGAACCGATACAAGAACATCTTGCCCTGTGAGTCTTGCTTTGCCACTATGAAAAAAAAAACCAGACACAGGCAATGAAGAGCAGTCTGAGTCATCCCTGGCCCTGCCTCAGCCCGCTCTGTCCTCCAGGCAGGTTATGAGGTGTGCGGCATGAGGATTTAAGAGCTGATGAGAGAAGTTCACAGCCTTTTCCTGTCCTTGAAGGAAGGAGGGAGGGCAGCAGCAGATTCATTAGCTTCTGTGGTCCATCAGAGAAGCAGAGGGATGGGAGGATGGAGTGACATTGGTCTGAGCCCAGAGAGGGAGAGCTGAGGATACAGGACATGCACTGGGAATCGTGACTGAGGTGGCACGGGGCAGTGAGGGAGCTCCGTGTGGCTGTGCATGGAGTATCTCATTGCACTGTTTATTCTTTCACTGCACCCCCAGTTGATCACTCCAGGGTCATCCTCCAGGGAAGGGACCCAAATATACCTGGATCTGACTACATCAATGCCAACTATGTCAAGGTGAGACTCTTGCAAGACTGTGCCCGAAGTGAGGAAGGCCTGCCTACTCCTGCAGCCCTTCTGACCTTCCGCTGTCCTCACTCAGAACACCCTGATCAGCCCAGATGAGTGCACCAAGACCTACATTGCCAGTCAGGGCTGCCTGGATGCCACAGTCAATGACTTCTGGCAGATGGTGTGGCAGGAGAACACGCGCATTATTGTGATGACAACRAGGGAGGTAGAGAAAGGCCGGGTAAGTAGCAGTCTGGAGGTATCACTTTTCCCTTTCAGCCATTGCTCTGTTTTTTCTCTCTCCTGCCTTCTGCCCATCCTCACCCTGCTCTCTCTGCCCACACAGAACAAATGTGTGCCTTACTGGCCAGAGCTGGGCAGCACGAAGGAGTATGGTCCCTACCTTGTGGAAAACACTGGAGAGCACGATGCGRTGGAGTACAAACTCCGGCACCTCTGTGTGTGTCCGAAGGATAATGTGAGTGTGTCTGACCAAGGACTGTCATCCAACCCCTGGGTCTAACAGCTTCCATGCATCTATACCTGGGAACTGCTGGGTGCTGTGGTGATGCTGCTGTTGTATTGTTCTTGGGGCTGCTGTTCCCACCTGATTTGGGCTGGAATAACACTGGTGGAATCACCAAGAAATGTGCAGGAGACAGAGATTCTCTCTGGCTTCAGATACACCTTTCCATGGAACAGAGGCTAGGAGAGGGCTGGGTTGCAGTTTTACCAGTGGGGTGCTTTGCTATTCTCAGAGCAAGGCTGTGCGTGAGATCTGGCACTACCAGTACCTGAGCTGGCCTGACCACGGCGTACCCAGTGAGCCGGGAGGAGTCCTCAGCTTCCTTGACCAGATAAATCAGAAGCARGAGAGCATCCCCAATGCAGGGCCTATTCTGGTCCACTGCAGGTTAGTACAGAGGCTGGTCTTCATGCATCCTCCATCCCTTATGTGGGATGGAATACAGAAAGTTTGTCCTGCTRCTTCCAGCTGTACCCCAAGTCTTGTGAGTGAAGCATATGCCAGTCCTAATATTTGCTTTTTTCCTCTTTGATGCCCTCAAACCAAACTCTCTACCTGTTGAACCCATTACTCTTTTGTGGCATTGCTGAGTAGCTGCTACAAGAGCCACATCTTTCGCAGAAGCAGCTGCATTTTGTTTCAGGAGCTGTCTTGCTCTGACCTCTGCTTGTCCTTTCCTTGCAGTGCTGGGATTGGCCGCACTGGGACTATCATCGTCATTGATATGATAGTGGAAACAATCTCCACCAAGGGTAAGAGAACCCCAAAGGATCTCAAAGGGAACGGGCCTACSCAGCAGGGCTGCACCCTTAGGTTCAGCTGCAAAGGGATGAGAACTACCACGTATCAGTGGAGAAGATCCTGCCATGGCCCTGAGGTCATTCTGCATCTGTACCATATCCACTTAGTATGGCTTCAGCCTTGCCTGAGCTTTGGCTATTCCTCCAGGGCTAGACTTGAAAGAKGCTGAGCAGGGGGAGAGATCAGAGGTCCATACAGGAATAAAGAGTTTGGAAGGACTGACCTCCACTGTGGCAGCTTTTGGTAGAGAACTGGGAGAGGGGGCAGTGAACAGGTCTGTAAGCTCTACTGGTGCTCCTTCCTAGGGCTGGACTGTGACATTGACATCCAGAAGACCATCCAGATGGTGAGAGCCCAGCGATCTGGGATGGTGCAGACAGAGGCCCAGTACAAGTTCATCTACATGGCCATCTGCCAGTTCATAGAGGCAACCAAGAAAAAGCTGGAAGTTATTCAGGTGAGAAAGGGGGCTCTACTGTCCTGTGAGCCTRAGCCCTGTATGGTGCTGGCTCTGAGCCCAAATGCTCTGTTTCACAGGCTTTAAGCTAACGCTGGTACCTACAACAGACTACAATAGTGCTTTATGATCKGAGTGCCTGTCCCTCTCTTCCAAGACTTTTAAGTTCAGGGAACAAGTTCATTAGCAGCTCAAATACCAATTTCTTCTGAAGTGCCAGACAGCAGAAAGTTTTAATGCAGTTACCTCATCTTCTGAATAACATGACCAAATACTGGTTTGTTGCAAACTCAATTTAGGACAAGCAAAGACTTCCCTCTCCTTTCCTCTTTGTCTTTCACATCCCAGTTTTGCAGCTGCCAGATCTTTTTCTGCTATTCGCTAAGTGTCATCTGTTCTCTCTCCTTGTAGTCTCTGGCAGCATCCAGTAGCTCCTGCTGTTTTAATATTCTTTAGCTGAAATTTGGCTCTCTCAGGCATTCCAGTGCCTTCAGAAATTTGTTGCCCCACTGTTGCCTCCTGTACAAGGCTGCATTTGCAGCTGCTGCTCTGAGAGCAGCTGAGCCCAAACACTTCAGCAATCCACCAGCTTCCACTGAGATCCCGGCACAAAGCATGGTTTAAAGAGCCAGAACTCTTCCATGGTGCCTCACATGCATCTCCCAGACCACACTCTTCTAAGACTGTTTTTTCTCCTGCAGTCTCAGAAAGGGAAGCCAAACGAGTGCGAGTATGGGAACATTGCCTACCCCCCTGCAGTGAGGAACRTGCACGCCAAGGCTTCACGAAAACCCTCTAAGTAAGAACTCACCTAAAGCAGAGACYCAGCTCTGCCTGCCTCTGGCAAGTCTGCCTGCTATCTTGGCTGGCTTGTTCTTCTTCSTCACGTTTTCCCTTGCTTTTCCTGATCTTACAGGCAGAAAGAGGAGTCAGCAGTATATGAGAACTTGGGGAAAAAGGAAGAGAAGCGGAAACAGCGCTCCTCAGAAAAGAAGCTGAAAGGCTCACTAAAGAAAAAATAATCATAGATTGCAGGTAGCCCCATGGGGACACTTCCTGGRTGCAGGACTGGAGCTCACATCCCAGCTGGCCTGTCTCACATTTCTTGCTCTTGGACTGGAATGAAGCCTTCTCTTTCTCTTCTATGCCAGCTTTCAGAGCCCTGAACAGAGTGCTTTCCAGTCCCTTGGCTGTGCAGGCGAGCARAGTCTCTCACTGCCCCCTCATTGTCCTTTAGCAGGACAGAGTCACGCCCCTCCTTGCCTTGCTCCCTGAGCACTGGGGCCCAAACTCAYCTCTGCTGTCAGCTTCAGTGGAATTCTTGAGGAAGACCTAACATCAYCCCTGGAGCTACATCTCTGCCAGAGTTTAGCCTGTTTGTGTTCTCTGAAGCCTCAGCTTTTCAACTGTGGAGGTTCTGGCCATTTTCAGCWCAGCTCCTCTGCAATTCATCAGGAAACTTCCTCTTTCCTCAATACCAGCCTTCTCCCCCTCTGATCCTTTTACTATCTCATCCTTTACCTGGATGCTGTAAATATACCAGAATTTGATGTGATGGCCATGTTTTCTTCTTTGTTTGTACATAAACTTGTATTTGTTTGACTACTGAGTCCCAAAATTTTCTATAATTTCTCTTTGAATATAGCTGTACTCCTGATTTCACCTGCAGCCCTGCAAAGACTTGGAAGGATGGTTCTAGCTTAGTTTTCCTGATTTCCTGCTGTTTTCAGGCTCCTRAATAGAAGCTGTGACCAATTATGGTGATTCCTTGGTGTGATGCTCAGGTGTTGGTGATTGTCAGGGAAGTCTGAGCATGGAAAGTCAGCTGTGACCACCTCTAATGCAACTTTTGCACCTAAATTTTACTTCTGGGTTTTCAATAATTGGACAAAACCACAGCTGCTCTGACCTCATGCTGGTAACAGTGCCACTTGCAGCAGCAGCCTGAAGCAAAGGGCTCCAGAGCTTCCTTCCCACAACTTACACACACCACTGTGGGAAGGACACTGCTTGCTGTCATTTGATACAGCAAGAAACTTGGCTGGCTGTGCAATTCCATCGCCACTAGAGGAAGAAGCAGGAAAGGGATGGTGGGGAAAACAATGGGCAGAAGTGAAAGTGAGGGGAGGGAGATGTACTGTTTCACCTCTGAATGATGCCAGATACCCTCTTCTAAGCAAGAGGGAAGGGGCTAAAGTCCTAGTCTAAGGAAACACCTACCTTRGCCTTAGCCTCCTGGGTAGCTTCAAAGGACAGGATCCAATTGTCTTCCTTCTTAAAAAGCTGCCACAGCCTAAAGCAAGGCATACCAAGGGTTAGCTTAAACTCTACCTGAAGCTTGAAAATGATGACATCTTGTGGAACATGCTCRGGTTACTGAGAACCTCATTTGTGTTCAAATCCCTGAACTTAATGTGTCCACAATGTCCAGTCTACAGAAAATTTAGACTGAACAACAACTTCTCCTGATTGCACATCAAGAAATACAGCACTAACATAAGCAGTCTACTCTACTTTACAGAGGGTCTGTTACAAACAAATATTTTGGGGTAGCTATTTGAGAATGTATTTTCAAAGCTGGTTCAAAGAATTTATGCTTCCTTGATGCTGCAAGTCAAAACATCATGGGTATTAGTTATGGCTGGGATTGCCACTAAGTTTTAAACCAGGAATCCATAGATTTCATCTGTTCCTTTAATCTTGTGCTCTGCTTCATCAGAGGAAGAAGTCCCTAAAGGCCTCTCCACTGGAGAGCTCAGCMTGGAGTAACTTGTAAGAGATGGCTGGTTGTGAATAGACATGGTCTTGTGGGTGGCTGTCTTGACCATCATGATCATGAGAGAGTGGAGTTTAAAATCTAAGTAAAGCTACTCCCCTGGACCTGGGGAAGAGCAGACTTTAGGCTCCTTAGGGAAGCAGTTAWTAAGGTCCCCTGAGGATCTGCTTTTCAGGATAGTGGGGTACATAAAAGMTGCTCACTTTTTAAGGGCCTTCTTTCAAAAGCACAGGAGCAGGCAACTACAACATGTCAAAAGTCTAGCCAGTGAGGCAGAGAGCTGGCTTGGCTGAGCAGGGATCTCCTTTTGCAACTCAGCAGTAAGGGTATGGACTTTGGAAATAAGGACGGGTTATACAGAAGATGAGACAAGCTCTTTGACAGTCTAGGAAACAAATCTGTATGGCCCAAGCTCAAGTTGAAGGTGGCAGGTACTATGATGGGTAATGAGGCATTTTAAAGTTATGTTAATAACAGAAGGAAAACTGAAGGAAACATTAATCTGTCACTTGATGAGGTGGGTCATCTCAACCCCAAATAGTGAAGCACRGACATTTAATGTCACCTTTGCCTCTTTTTTTTGATGGTGGTGATGGGCCCTTGGGTGTCCARAGCCCTGGGCTGGATGGCCACAGCTGGGGGAGTGATAAACTCCCAGCTGACTTTGAACTTGCATGGGATTTGCTACTGCAACTGAATGCACATAAGTCTGTGGGGCCCAATGGGATTCCTCTCAGGGTRCTGCAGAGTTGGCCAATGTTACTGTGTTATTAATCAACAGCCAGTGTTATTAATCTGAGTTATTAATCAACAGCCTTGGGAATCTGGAGAAGTTCACGTGGAAGCGGGCAAGTGTTGGCCCAGTTCTCAAGAAGGCCTTGATAATTGCAGGTCAGTTATTCTCTGGTGCCCGGTAAAGCTATGGACAAAATCAGTCAGGGAGCTCTCAAGAAAAAGACTTGGAAGACAATGCAGTTGTTGATCAAAGTGTGCACAAATTCTTGCCGGGAAGGTGATACCTTTCCAACACAACAACCTTTCACGACAAGGTCACCCACCCTGCAGTCAAAGCGAAGACAGACGTGGAGTTTTTGGATTTTGGCAAAGCTTTTGATGSTCTCACCATATCCCTCTGGACAATGCTCAGCATACAGCCAGRTAAGTACACAATTTCATCCATATGACATTTAACAAGAACAAACGCCTGATTCTGCACCCAAAATGGTGTGATGTGAAGGATGAGACTGGAGTGTAGCCTTACAGAAAAGGCTCTAGGCATTTTAACTGAYAGCAGGCCCTACCAGCTCTGTTATGCTGAGCTGCACTAAGAACAGAATGATTAACTGGCCAGAGAAGTGAGGGATCCACTGCACTCAGATCCAGCCTGATCACCACTACTGTGTGCAGTTKCATGCTCCACAATACAAGGAAGATATAAAAGTATTATAATGTGTCCAAAGGAAGGCAACACAGACAGCAAGGAAAGGTGTGACTTAGAAGGAGCAGCTGGGGATATTGTTAGTTCAGCCTAGGGGAGAACAAGGGTTGACCTCATTGCTGCCTACAGCCTCCTCAATATGAGCAGCAGAGAGAGGGAGGTGCTGATCTCTTCTCTTTGGTGTTCAGCAACAGGACATGAGGGAATGGCCTAAAGCTGCATAGGGGGAAGTTCACACTGGGTATCAGGAAAAAAGTCTTTGTTTACATGGTGGCCAAGCTCCCCAGGAGGGCAGTCATGACCCTGAGCCTCTGTTCAAGATGAGTTAAGACAATGCTCTCACCTATGGTTTAACTTTTAGGTTGCCCTGCACCTGATGATCCTTATGACTCCATTCCAGCTCAGGATATTCTATAATTCTGTGACYCTGTGATACCTCCAAGTCCTAAATCTTAGTAAAGGGCAGCCCAGAGAAACAGGGATGAAGCTACCCTTAAAGCACACAAGATCTTGCTGTTGAAACCCAAACAAAAGAGAGAATTTAGTCAGTGGAGGATGATTTCTCTTCCTCTTTTCGGCCAGAAAAGCAGAGAAGGTAAAAAGCCCAAGATGTAACAACAGTGGTCAGGACATAGTATTGAGAAGCTTCTGTGAGCTGGAAAAGCAGGTAAACTTGCCCTCATCTCTAGCCCTCATAGGCAGCTAAAGAAGCAGTCCTAGTCACCCACACAGCTGCACGAGCTACCCGAACCTCCTCCTTCACTCCCCACACTGTGATCCACCAGTGGCCCTGAGCGTATTTCCTTCTTTTGTTCCTTTCTCTTCATCTCATCCTCATTCTGTTTTCAACCAAATAAAATCTCTGTTCCACCTCCTACTACATAAAATAACCACTTCTTTTTCATGCACTAAGCACACTTAGACACAATATAAATTTGTTTTTTTTTAATTTTTACAAATGTTTGAAAGCATCACTGAGCAGACAGTGACACAAGTAAGATAATTCCAGCAGTGACAGGCACCCAAAGAATGGCATTGTCCTGAATTCAGTCCCAGGTTCTCTTGGGAGCAAGTGTGAAAGAGAAAAAAAATTTACTACAAAAAAAAGCCTGGTGCTGATGGCAGCAGAACTCCCTCACTTGGCCAGAAAAGAAYTTTTATATCCTACAGAAATCTAAATATTAATGAAGATTAGAGGCAAATTACTATATCCACATGGGTTAATACCAGTAAGCCCCTTTGCACCCTCTCCAAACTTAACTGGTGGGATGAGGAAGGAATTACAGCTGCCTAGAGGCAGAGTCCATTCCTGTAACTGAATCACCACAGATGGAGCAGGGGCACGGGGACCAATCTGGCTACTGGATTAAAAACTTCATCGTGAGGGCAAACAATACTAGCGGAGGGAGTTCAAAGATCCTCACTCATATCTTCTGCTGGTCAGCGACGCTGGTTCTAAGAATCTTCAGCTTCTTTCATTTCTTCCCTTTGAGTAGGAGACTGTCACTGAAAGGGAGACAGATGGGAGTCATCAGCCCAGAAAGCACAAGCAAAGCTGCAGAACCCCTCAATATGGATTCTGAGGTGTGGGTGTCACACCCAAAGGATCTGGACTTCCAAAGTCCTTCCTATTAGGCAGGTTGTTTTTTTTCCCCCCAAGCCCCTTAAATCTTCTGGAACAAATACGACAGAATCTAGTCAGAGGTGAGGAAGTACAATATTATAATCAAAGATCCCACAGAAAAGAAACCAGCGCTGGTTTCTCTTCTCAATTCTAAGAAATCTAAGCTTTTAGCTGCATCCTGTTAGCTCAGTTGGGACTGCCTTTTCCAGTAAATATTGGACAGATTAGGCAGAACCACCAAACTTCTGACAGCTRTGAAAGTGGCAAATGGGGTTTTCTGGCATGAACTGGAAAGCWTTTGGAGAATAACAAAAGCATCTTCTTCCCTAGAGATTGTTAACCAAACCAACACAAATTCCCATGATGATCTACCTGCCTCCTTACAGCCCTGTTTGCCCTAACTGCAGGATGCCCTGTATATGTGAAAGATCAGAGAATTCTCCACAGTTCTGCCTTTCCCATGCAAGGCTCCCTATGGGACACACATGGAGCTCCAATTATTGTACACTCCATTATTATGTCTATGTGGTCCCTGCATGGAAAGCTTCAAGCTTCATATCACAAATGGGAACTGAGGTAGAGATTGGAATAAAYTTCCTGGGGCCAAAAAAGCCCAGGCCAGAAACATCCCAGGCACCAGAAAAGAGCAACACCCTTGTTTCAGTAAACAAATGAATCAAAATATATAGTGCCTTACCTTCCTCTGTGTCAGCAGATGCAGTAAGGGGTGGAGGGTGGGGAAGAAAAAAAACAAGAGCAAATTCATTAGATTTAACAAAAAAATCCCCATTTCTATTGTATGAGAGGCTGCTCCCTACTTGTCTGCATCCTCTGGCATCAGGCTCCTCTCAGAAATAGATCCTGAGAGAGCTCCAGTAAGGGGAGCAGCTTGCCAGGTAGCGTGCAGACAAACCCAGGCACCCAGCTCCTTTACCTGGTGAAGCCCTCATCCTGCAGGTTCAGTACCAAGTTATCTGCTGTGAGATACACACGGTTTTGTGAGGCAGCAATCTGGAAAAGAAATCCATTACAGATGTGGCATCAAGGACTAAAAATGCACAGGGATGCATAGCACTAGGAACCCATCTCCCACTCCAGATACAGCACTTCTTTCCTTCACTCAAGRTCTCACTTAAATCAACACAATTGCCCATAACAACTCCGTAACTTCATGACTTTCCATCCCAGAGCCATCAGACTATCTAAAAGAAGTGCTCATTCTGTCCCTCTGTCACAAAGGCCTTTGATCCGACATTTATCTGTCCCCCTTTCTCAGCCTGCAGGGAACCAGGAGCTTTTAGTGCCTGCAGCTGAGGGTGGGTGATGGAATCTGATGTGGATCTGGCCTTGTCATATGAAGGGCATGAACTCTGAGCCTCACATCTGATTGCAGATCTTTGCTAAGTCTTAAGCTCTACTTGAGCAGAAAAGGGCTGGGCAGGAACAAAGATCAGGACAGGGCAGATCACATTCGCCTTAAATTCATCATGTGGCCACTGGGTTGTGGGACAGCACAAGGACTGCAAAAGGACAAAGGGAATTCTATGGGAATTCCAATGCTCACCGTTTTTGAGATGTTTTGAGCAGCTCGGATTTTACGTAGCTTGATGTAGCCTGGATTCCTGCTGAGAGCTTCCCCAAGGTACAAGGGAACAAAAGTYAAGGAAAATCCTGCAAACAGAAGCCGCTTACCCTCAAGGAATTCTTCCTAAGCCGTATTAAAAAACATCTTAGTGGGTAAAAAGCAGTTTCTATCCAAATAACATGGGCCTTGACATGGCATATTTTTAACCGCACAAATGAAGAACATTATGGATTTCGGTCACACACAGCCAGGAAAAGTTAAACTTTACAACAGAGAGCAAGGCCCAGAGCCTTCTCTGCTCTGACCGTAACCTCAGATGAACCTCACTCCAGCCAGCCGGAGAAGGGTGGAAATAAAGAACAGTGAGTGACCTACTTGAAGCTATCATCCGATCACAGTCTCCTGAGCATGAGCCCAATGTGACGGATTCTTAGGACTGGCAAGCTCACAAGCCACATCCCACAAAATCTCCAGAAGCAGGATATCATCTTGGCAGCTGTCGCTTCCCCCTCAGCCTGAACTATCTTCTGCTTTTGCTCCTGCTTGGCCTTCTCCACCAGGAACTGGGCGCGCTGTGCCTCCTGCTGGGCTGCAGGAAGAAGGGACAGTCATTGGAACCACATCGTATCTTCCATCAGAATCTGTGCGCTGAGGCCCAGGGGCTCTGCTTCCCAAAGAACCAGTAACATTCTGGGACCACTGGGACCAGCTAAGAGCACTTTTCCTTTTTCTTAAGTAAACCCCACAATACCCAGACCCTCCACATGTGACACAGTGAAGTGACAGAGTCCCAGTCTGAAGAGGAACCTTAGTCTTGGGAACTCAGTCCCTCCGATGGTACATCCCATTAGCTGTGGCTTTCTGCCAACTCTTGTAAAATAAACCTGTTCAACTCTGCTGCTAAGAATGCAACACACAGAGATTTGTGACCATGTACCAGCACTGATACAGTGACACAGCAGTGACACACTAACCCAAATTCCACTACCTTGTTTAATAATTCAGTGAAAAGGCAAAGACAATCCACCCTTTTCAGGCACCAGTGGAACTCACCCACTTGCTTAGCCTCCACAGCTGCTGTGTATTCACGACTGAAACTAAGCTCTGTGATAGCCACATCATCCAGGATGAGGCTGAAATCCTTGGCTCTCTCTGTCAGTTCTCTCCTAATGAGCAGAGACACCTGAAACACAAACATAGCAACAACACTAGTACCAAGCACGGGGTGTTCCTCACTTCCTGTACACTCCAAATGTGAAGCACAACTGCTCTTCACAGTGTCGGGAAAGACATCCCCTAACTCAAGCTCCAAACCGTGGACACCATCTCTGTGCAACATATCCACAGCCACACATGGCTTTTTCAGAACTCTTATTACAGCTCATTTGTTACTCCTTAACTGTTCTATGCAAKTAACACTGTAAGTAAAAAAACCTTRAAAGCGTCTTTTGCTTTCACATCCTACCACATCTAGTTCCACAGTTTTGRCAATAAGCATTTCCTTTTCCTCCTTGGATCTGCCACTGTTTGCAGGCTSATTCTCCCATAATTGCATTCCAACACAGAAAAAAAAATGACCAAATATTTTTTTACCCATATCACATCTCTTAATTACAGTACATACTCGTCTAGTGTGGCTACTCCACTTTTTTTGGCCACTTTGGATGGCTCTTGCTGATAGACACTTTGATTTATTCTACATTTAACTTGCCAGCACCTATTTCAGGCAGGCTGACAAGTCCTGCACCAAATATTGACTTAAACAGAAACTATTGCTACAGTATCACATGCTTGGCCAGCCGAGCATTTACTTTTACTGCAGCTGTTTCTGAGGAACTCTAAATAACGAGAGAAACCTTTCCTGCGTGAACAGCGAGTGCACAATGACATAAAGCCACTTAATTTTCCTCTGATTATCAATCCCTTTGATACACATCACTTTATAATAATAAGCACTGAATAGATACATGACAAAAAGGCAAATGCAATTCAGTTTGTTGAAAAATTTCAGAGATCAAAGAAAGCTTTTTATCTCAGATCACAGATGCTTAACAGCCTTTGCTTTCAATAAAGCTGAAATCCTCACAGACATTCCTTGCTGTCACATCCTCTCCATGCATTCTTTTTCTACACAAAAACTAACAAATCCCTCCAGCACGCTCAATGTGGATGAGCACAAAACCCTGAAGCCTCAGTGAGGGGGCTATGGATCAATTCTCGTAACACAACCTGGACACTCAGCTCTACTCTTAACTTTCGTCACAGATCAGAAACTAATTAAAAGATGCTTTGAATTTCATCTAACAACTTCTCCTCTTCAGCACCCTCCTGATCCTGCAGGACCTCCTTTAAAACAAGACCAGCACCTCCTCTCGGCTCCAGTTGCCATAGGTGATGAAAACTCTCAGAAACCCTGATAATCAATTATTAAAACACACACTTTCAGAAACAAACGTTTTTAAGCCAAATATTTCTACTATTTTGTAACACTCTCCCAGATGACATTCTAAGCTTTTTCTAATCAGGSTCTGCAGGGAGGGGGCCAAGAAAACCGAGCCAGGCTCTTCTCAGTGACGCCAAACAATASGACAAGAGGCAATRGGCAGAAACTACAACACAGKAAATTCCACCTGAACACAGGAAACAACTCCTTCAYTGTRCAGGTGACCAAGCATTGGAACAGGTTACTCAGAGAGGTTATGGAGTCTCCCTCACTGGAGACATTCAGAAACGACCTGGATGCAACCCTGTGCTACATGCTCTGGGATGACCCYGCTTGAGCAAGGAGGCTGGACCAGATAATCCACTGTGGCCCTTTCCAACCTGACCCATCCTGTAGTTGTAAATAAAAGTATTTGCTACCCTTTTATAACATTGATCACTGACAGGTTAGTACTTTRTAAACTGCTCATCCTCACAGTTTTTCAAAACCGTTTACTTTTTTCTGATGACCAGCCATTCTGAGAATCACATTTTCACAGCCAGTTCCATGGACACCTGTGGACTATTATGTAAATCAGCTCTCCCTCCCCCAGTTTTGCCCTCTGTGCATCAACGGAGCCAGTTTTCTCCTCAGAAGCTGACAATACAGCATGCACACGTAAGGGGATCAAAATGAACACGGGACACACCTTCTGTGTGGATGCACTATCCACCAGCTAAATACAGATACCCTTCCTTTACCTGTCACAACGTTCCCCACACCCACAGTTGTGCAGCTCCTCTGCAACCTGCACCGAGCCAGGGCTCACCTGGGCTCTCTGTGTGATGAGCTGCGAGGCGTTGAACTTGGCCACGACACTCTTGAGCACCTCGTTGACGATGGAGGGCAGGACACGCTCCTCATAGTCCAGCCCCAGGCGCTGGTACATGCTGGGCAGCTCGGCCGCGTTGGGCCGTGTCAGCACACGCAGGGAGATGTTCACCATCTGCAGGTCTGCCAGGACAGAGAGAGGGGTCAGGGGGCTGCAGGGAAACTGGAGAAGAAACTTTTCATCAAATATGGTAATGATGGCACAAAGGGTAACGGGTACAAACTGGAAGACGGGAACATTTAGTTGGAAATTAGGAAGAAATCCTTTGCAGTGAGAGTGGTGAGGTACTGGAACAGGCTGCCCAGGGAAASTGTGGATGGCCCAACCCTGGAGGTGTTCAAGACCAGTTTGGATGGGGCCTTGARCAACCTGGYCTAGTGAAAATTATCACTATCGATGGCAGTGAGTTGGGAATAAATTATTTTTAAGGTCCATTACGACCCCTTAGTATTCCATAATTGTATAAGGAGCGCCAGCACTACAGCCGAATTCCTGTCCCGTGCCTCCCACCTCGTGGTCACTCTCTCTCACCTTTGGAACCGGTGGGGGAGGAGATTTTCCGCGGCCGCGCTCGGATGTCGTAGATGATGGGATACTGGAACCAGGGGATCCTGCGGAGGGCGGAGGCGCGTTAGGAACGCGGGCCCCTGCCAGGCCGGGGGGGCCGGGCGGGTATCGGGGGAAAGGGCCCTACCTGAAGTGCAGCCCCTCGGCCAGGATGGTGTCCTGCTGCACGCCGCCGATGCGGTTGAAGAAGATGGCGCGCTGGCCGCCCTCCACTGCGGGGAGAGAGCGGGGGCTCGGTCAGCGCGGGCAGCGGGCGCAAAGGCTCCGAGAGGGTGGGGGTGAGGGCTAGGGGGAACTCCACTCACCAATAAAGACGGACTCTCGCACGCCATAGGCCAGGGCGCCGGCGCCCAGCAGCAGCTTGAGCGCAGTGCCSACGCCGCGGGGCCCGGTCGGCAGCCGCCCCGCCAGGTCCTTCAGGTTCTGCGCCATGGCCGCCCCGCCGCCGCCCCCGCCGGGAAGGACACCGGAAGGAACGACCGCCGCGGCGCTCCGGCGGGAAACCGCACTGCCGGGAGCGYCCCCGCTGCCCCTTCCCGCCCCCAGCGCTCGCCTTCCGGCGCGGCGGCCGCRGCGCTCCGGAAGCGGGTCCAGCCGGAGCCAGATAGAGGGCGCGCCCCGGCGCCATCTTGGGCGGCMGCGACGGGCAGGGCGGGGCCGGGGCGGGGCCGGCGGGGCCGCGTGACAAAATGGCGGCGCCCAGGCGGCCACGTGGGGATGCGCAGGAGGATGAGGAGGATGAAGGGCGTTCGCTGGAGGCCAAGCGGCTCCGCGGGCAGCGGCGGCTCGTGGTCGTGCTGGAGGGGGCGAGCCTGGAGACCGTGAAGGTGYGGATGGTGGGGGCGCAGGTCGGGGTGGGTCGGGCCGCGCCGTGCTGTGCCGTGGATGCCCTCGCTTGCCGCTCACCTGTTCGTGTWTTGGCCGTAGGTGGGGAAGACGTTCGAGCTGCTCAACTGCGACAAACATAAGGCGCTGCTGCTGCGGAATGGCCGGGACCCCGGGGAAGTGCGGCCCGACATCACCCACCAGGTACCCGCGGGGTCCGGCGGCGCCGGTGGCGGCCTGGGCCGCTCGGGGCAGCCCCGGTAGGCGCCTCGGGTAGATCGTCCCTTGGGTATGGGGGTCCGCTCGTGCCCCTGGGGCTCGGGGGCGAGTTTGGTCTCCCCTGCTCTGCTCGTGGCTTTTAGGTTTAGTCACTGTTTGTGTCTGGGCTTGATTTCTTAGCATTACAGTAGAACTCCCATAATCGGATGAGCTTTCAACCTCAACATTGGGCTCTTATRCATTTGTGGTGGCTAACCCCTAATTTTCTCCAGAATTCTCTCTCTTGTGCTTTTCTATTACCAGTACCGTGTGCTTTTCAATTTCAGAGTCTCCTGATGCTCATGGACAGCCCCCTGAATCGGGCTGGCCTCCTGCAGGTTTATATCCACACCAAGAAGAATGTTCTGATTGAAGTCAATCCCCAAACCAGAATCCCAAGAACTTTTGATCGATTCTGTGGTCTTATGGGTAAGTAATTCAATCTTTACAACAGCTACAGAAAAATCTGGGAAAGTGGTTTGGAGTGGGGGAGCTTTTCGAAAAATAAAAAACTGGCACTAACCTTGAAACATAAAAGTGAGAAAAGAGCAGAGAAGTGAAAGCATCTTTCTGCCGTGTTCTCCAAGATGCATAGCCCAGCTGTGTGTTCCTTAGCTCGGTGGGGAGTGCCTGCAGGAGGTTGTACTATCAGCAAAATAACTTGTTTCAGCTAGTGATGGGAACTCAAAAGGTGGAYGTTTTGTGTACCTCAGCTCAGGCAAAGTACAGGATTTCTCTATCAAAATAACAGACAGCTTAGGTGATTTTCTTGTTTTCTCTTTGTCAGTTCAGCTGCTGCATAAACTCAGTGTTAGAGCAGCTGATGGGCCTCAGAAACTGCTGAAGGTAAATATTTTGTAACTGTTCACACAGTTAATGTTGCAATGTTCTAACAGCGACGCGGGAGGGATTTCTGGGAGGTGGTAAAGAAGGGAGAGGTGGGTTTTTTTTTGTTGGGGGTCCCGGTTGTGGGCACGGTTCCTATTCTGTCCTATTGCATCATTGCTGGGGGTTGTGGTTTCAGGGGGGCTCTCCCACATCCCATTTGGCTGGCATGTGCTGTAGGAACTGCTGCTGCAGGAAAGAAACCCCAAACACAGCTGTCCTTGGAGCTGAGGGGTGTTTTCTCACATGAGCCTGACTGCCGTGCCCGGGCATTGATAGGGCTTTTAAAATGGCARAGAGGGGGAAATGAAGATGTGATTAACTCAAACGGCTTCTGCAGACACAGAGGGAAAGAGGGGATAAACTGCAGCGMCAAGTGGTATTGAATTCCTCGGATGAAGCTACCTTTGTTGTTGGAAATGTCAGAAAAGCAGCAGCCAGTGGAAGGTGGTGGTGATGTCATCTTGGCAGAGAACAAGCGCMTCCACTCGAGGACACAACGAGGACACGCGTCAGCAGGCAGGGAGAGACAAGGAGCAGCCTTTCCAGCCTCTTCCACACGGGGCTSTCATGAACCTGGCTCCAGTAATGTGCCACAAGGAGCTGCTGGGCTGGAGCAGGACCTTGCTGTGCTGCTCAGACAGAAGCAAGATTCCCAGATGCAAAGAACTAATCAAGGACTGATCAAGGCTTAAATGCGCTTTGTAACTTTCCTCTGGAAAATCCAGATTCCCCAAAGAAAGGGAATGTGGCCCAACATGTAGCTCCTTTGCAGGTGGTGGTATTTGGGATGCTCTTCCTGGGAGCAGTGCTCTGGCTCAGCTTCTCCTGGCTATTCCACACTGCCTACTGTCACTTGGAGGTCTTGTGGACTTTTTCGAATTTTATTAGATTATTACTCAGGAATTGCACTGCTGATTATGGGGAGCTCTACTACTTGGTCTTCTGCTCCCCACAGCCAAGACTCATCTACCTCTCCATCACCTGTATCCTGGGCATCTCTGCCATCATTGTGGCCTCACGCAAAGGCCAACTCATCCATAGGAATGTTTTTGTTCAAGGACCTGGGGGTAGCTTGGTGGGTAATGTAGGGGGATGGGGAAACAGGATGTGTACCTCAAGGGGATTTGATTTTTGGGTGGGGACAATCTGTAATGTTGAATTGTGTATGTAATATTGGTACTTTGCAAATACCATGGACAGTGAGGGTGCACTGCTCCAGATGGATCAGTCATGAGCTTCTGAYGCAGCCTGCAACCAGCTGATGAATTTTTTGTTTATCTGTTGTTTTCAGCAAACAATGCACCTAGCTGTGTCAGGGTCTGTTACCTCTACACCCCTATTAACTTTCTGCTTTCTGTAGGTGATTAAAAACCCAGTCAGTGACCATCTGCCCGTGGGCTGTATGAAGATTGGAACCTCTTTTGCAGCATCACAGCTGTCASATCTGCGTGAGCTGGTTCCTGCAGCAGAGCCAGTTGTCATTGTGGTGGGAGCTTTTGCCCACGGGTCGGTAAGTGTGTGTATCCCTTATCTGGAGCTGTAAAAAGATTTCAGTCTTGTTCTGAGTGTGGAGGTTTTATCTGCCTCTTTTTTGGCTTGGTTCCCGCCCTGCCCAGCCCCCTATTATTCCCTGCAGGCTTGTCAGAAAAGGGCCCCAAACTGCAACACTTGGGACTGTTCTCCCTCCCAAGAGAGTGCATTAGTGAGGGCTAGAAGTTTCCCTGCTGGAGAAACACAGTGCCTCTCCAGTTGTTAGGGTTGAAAGGGCTCTCCAGAGATCACCCAGTCCAACCCCCTGCCAAGGCAGGGTCACCTGGAGCAGTGACACAGGAACCTGTCCAGGTGGGTTTGGAATGTCTCCAGAGAGGGRGACTCCACGACCTCCCTGGACAGCCTGTTCCAGTGCTCTGCCATCCTCAGTGTAAAGAAGTTYTTCCTCCTGTTGAGGTGGAACTTCTTCTGTTTTAGTTTATGGCTACTTTACTGCTCCTCACCTTATACCCAGGCACCAGTAAAGAGTGTGGCACCATCCTCTTGGTACCCACCCTTGARATATTTATGTGCATTAATGAGATCCCCTCTCAGTCTCCTCTGGACTAAACAGGGCCTGCAGTCTSTCCTCATAACAGAGATAGTCCAGAGCCCTAATCATCTTTCTGGCCTCTGCTGGACCCTCTCCGGTGGCTCCTTGCCTTCTTGTACTAATGGAGATGGGGCTCAGTGAAAACTTCTTGCAGCTTGATTTTTTTTTTCCTATTATTTTTTTTTTACCCCCCTCTTCTCCTAGGTCAATGTTGACTATACAGAAAAGATGGTCTCCATCAGYAACTATCCCCTCTCTGCAGCACTGACATGTGCTAAAATTACTACTGCCTTTGAGGAAGTGTGGGGAGTAGTATGAGCTGCTGCTGCTACTGCTGTCATGACGGACTTGTATAGTGACTCCAGATTCTGGAAAGGCTCTTTAACTTGGATGTGGACCTGGTGCAACCTTGGGTTCCTGGAAAAGACTTCAGCTTCGTTCTTGTAGCTTCTGAAGCAAAGAGACTTTAAACAGACTGCCCCACTGACCCTTTTTCCTCCTATTAAAGGTACCTTTTTTGATTAAAAAGTGCTTGTGAATTTTACTTTCTCATGTTTCATATGTGGGCAGGCTGGATCCCTTTATAGCAGGGACTTGGCCCAAATTTGTCACAGAACTGGAATTCTTAGCTGTGCCCTGCTCACCCTGGTGCCGGCTCGGTCCTGTAGAGTCGCCTTGCTCGGTGGCATGTGACAGTTCACACTCCCACACCGAGGCACCCAAGAGGAAAGGAGCTGAAGCCGATGTGAAAAAGACCAGGAGCAATTTTTATCTTAGATGACAAACGTAGAAAAGTCAGAAGGCGGCTCCAATCCAACGCAGCACCTGCCGTGAGTGTGGTACAATCATCTGGTATCAGCGGAGAGACGAGTGCCGGCCGCAGGGCGGCAGAGATAAGGCAACAGACAGAAGGTGGAGGGTCTCAAGGAGGCTCGCTCGGATCCCCTCCTTTTGGGTCTCTGACCCTGTGCTTTCTCCTTTCCCCTCCTTGCGTTGAAAAAAAGTCATACTTCAACACAGCAAACTTGGCAGGTGATGCTTTGCTTCCGGAGTGTTAAATCAACTCCTACGAATGCACAGGTGGTACAATCTGAAAAACAGAGGAGTGCTATATTTGCTTCGGTTGATTTGATGTTTGCTGATCACCTTGGGCTGCAGCACTGCTGCCCCATTTCATCTCCTGGTCTCTGCCCTGTACAGCCTTACCTTTTGGCTGTTATTCTGCTCTTTTTAGCTTTTCTTTTCGTGGCACAATTAATCTGCGAATGTAAGGCAATACCAGCAGTAAGGTGAAGAACAACACGTGGCCACAGAAATAAATAGACCTGTACACCTGTAAAGAGAAAGGCAAGGTTGGGCATCAGCAACCAGCTTTGAGCCAAGAACACAGGAGAGGGGATGGAGGGAAAAGGGTTGACCACGTGGGGTCGTCTGTGGCTACTAAATACCT